AATCCATAAGTTAGTGCTGAGGTGGGGTAGGACTTGAGCCTTGGCCACCTCACTATGCATCATCCACAAATGGAGGAATGCAGCCTATGTGACCTGAGAGGAAGATGAAGGAGGGGGCTGCCTAGTAGGAAAGTGGGGATGAAACCAGAAGGAAAAGAGGATAAAAATAACTGGCGTGGCCCATGTCCCGAGAATTCACAGCATCACCTTCCCAATCCTGTTTACAGTTTTCTCCATGTAATGGAGTGAAAACATATGTTGCCTTCATTCACAGCTTCTGCCTAATGTGTAGTTTGTTTTTTTAAATAATATTGTGCCTTGGAGCCACTAACATCTTCATCAGTAAGCCCTCTGACTTAATCACACAAATCATTTGAAATGATACTTTGAAATTATCATAGAACTGATAATGCCCCTCTTGCCTTGGACCACTTTGTAAAAAGCATATAATGATTTCCCATTGGTGACTGCATTAACCAGTGCCATCTTTGGTATAGATTGCATATTGTATATTTAGTCCAACCTTTCTGGGAAGATTTTGTGATCTAATAGGGTCATATTATTTGCTTACCTGAGGCATTAATACTTGGTGATCACCTCTTTGTCAAAGATACATGTTCTTGACCAATTTCTAGGAATTTAGATATAGTTAATTTATTATTTTATATGTAATGTTTAACTGTAACCCTGGTTTTTGGGGTTGGTTGCCAGAGCAGTGGAGGGAAAGTTGGTACAAAAAATGGGGGGGCGGGGGGCAGATGGAAGAGGGACAGAAGGAGAAAGAGGCTGCAGTAGTAGGCTTCTGTGCCTTGTAACTCCACATGGGTTTGTCTAGACTTGGGGGGGAAATAGGAGTTTGGTCTGTGGATTTCTGGCTTTTGGCCTACCACAGTGTTTTCTTGACCCACAGATAGGCAAACCACATCCTAAACACTTGACGGAAATCCCCCTTTATTTTAATTTTTTTTTTTTTTTTTTTTATGTTTCTTTATTTTTGAGAGAGACCGAGCTTGAGCAGGGGAGGGGCAGAGAGAGGAGACGCAGAATCTGAAGCAACCTCCAGGCTCTGAGCTGTCAGCAGAGTCAGACAGGGCTGGAACTCACGAACCTCAAGATCATGACCTGAGCTGAAGTCAGGCGCTTAACTGACTGAGCCACCCAGGCGCCCCATCACTTCACCTCTTTGGTCCAGTATTTGCTTTGCCTTTTCCTTCCAAGGAAGCTGTGATATTTCTATCCCTTTTTTCTCTGCAATTCAGACTTGCTGTAAATACTCTCCCACACATCCCTTTGATGAAGAGTTTCTAGATCTGAGCCAGTTTATTTCAAATCTTGTTCTGTAGCACTGCACATACCAGTAATGAGAAATCTCTCCAATCCTTTGTGACATAAAGATACTCTACTGAGTTCTAGAATCCTTTGTTTAAAATGCAGGGGATCAGGCAAAAGACTAAATTGGAAAGTCATTGTTTAAAAGGAGAATTAATATCTTTTGGTCTCTGCACAGAATTGCGGTTCACTTCAAAGGATCAAATACACATCCTCAAAACCTAAGCTCATGACTCAGGCTGGGCTGAGTGCTCCTCCTCAGTGCTCCCATGATATCCTGTATATATGTCCTTATTACTGTGCTTTAATTATGATTGCCTGCTTCTCTGCCTTTATGTTCCCATTTTCACACCCTAATCTTAAACTGTGAACTCTTGGGGATGAAGACTGACTCTGTTGCCATTCTACCTGGCACATAGTAGGTCTAAAATAAATATTTGTGTGTGAATATATGAATTTTTATAAAGGAGAGTTAGGTTACCATTTGATCTTCAGTCTTGTTAGAACTTTTAAAATTTGCCCCCAGATGGCTTTGTCCCCAACAGTATTTTACCATTACAATACAGAGGTTAATAATAAATATAATTCAAATTCAAGTAATACAGTTTAATCAGTCAACATATATTTCTCAAACCTGGTCATTGCCCTGTAAGTTAATTACAGCCTGAGTTCTAAAAATGAAAAGAACTAGAATTAGCATAGTTTTAGTCCATAGGACCTTCTCACCTCAAACACTACCCTCACCCCCTGCCCAAATCCTTAGTTCCCTTGGTTTGTTTTTTTTTTTTCCTGAGAGAGAAAATGAGAGAGGGACAGAGAGAGGAAAGAATCCCTAGATCTCACAAACTATGAGATCATGACCTGAGCCCAAATCAAGAGGAGGCTTAACCAACTGAGCCACCCAGGCACCCATATGATTCCCTTCTTTACTCTTAAGCATCCCCTATTCATTCAGCATTAGGGTACTGAGACTCTGTGATGTGCAGGCAGCCAGTGTAATAGCACAATGTTTGATGGGAGAGAGACATAAGTAAAGGGTTATAATGTGGTATGAGGGCTATCACTGAGGTACATACAGTGTAAAATGTAAATCTAAGAGGTAGGTGCCAAGTCTTCAAGGGTGAGGAGTTCAGATTTGAGGGAAGGGGATAAGTATGACGGGGAAAAGAAACAGCATATGGAGAAAACTAGAAGTATGTAGACGTACAAATGCTAAGTATGTGTTCAGGGAATTCGTAGAGGATGAGGCCAAAGGGAAAAGGCAGGCCTGAATGGATGCCTGTGAAGGAATTTAGAGTTTAACCTGTAGACCGAAAGGGAAGTCACTGAAAATTTTTCAAGAGAGGAATGACGTGATCTCGCTGTGTCCTACCTGTGTCTTCTCTTCAGTGACTCTTGTGACCTGTGTTTCCCTATCATTTCTGTTCCTTTTTTTGCTAATAGTTTGAGGTCAAGTTAATTCGTTTGGTTAGAGTAAAATAGCTGTAGGTTGCAATTTGGAACATTCTAATTAAAACTCCAGAAATAGGCCGTTTCCCACCTTCCACCAAAACAGAAATCTGTACCATGGCTAGATACTGTGACCCTAATCCCATCTTGTCCCTCACAAATTCCTAATCCCTCACAAATTAACAGAATGAATATCTCATCCTGTTCTTCTTGTTAAAGACGGAAAAAAGAATGACTATTAAAAAGCCAGAATACTGCATAACCTTATACTGATGTAAGAAAATAAACTACACATGAAAGCAGCTGGATTTTTACATTTGAGAATTTCTTACTATTTTGTGTGTAACTCTTTTGAGGCTTTTCATGTTGTGTATCTGGAATATGAGTGGGCAGGACACTTGAAACCAGGAGAGCTTCTGTCTCACAACCGTGGCGCTCCTGGCAGTCGCTCTCTTCATTCTGGACCCATTGCAGTGTGTCCACAGTCGTTTGTTTGTGCGCAGGTTCGCGGCCAGCCTCCCAATAAATCATTCTTTGGAGTTTTACAAAGAGGTCATTCTTGGCACCTAAGCTGAAAATCATTTGTGCCCAGCACATCAGTTTCCCTTTATGAATATTGTTTAATTAGAAAGTAGTTTATGAACTGTGTCTCATTTTTAAAATGTAATTTGCAGTAGCAAATAGCAGATGTGCGTGTTACCTGGCTGTCTCAAGCCTTTATGCTTACTCATTCGCACAGACCCTTTAGTGGAGGCAGCTGCAGAAAGTGTGGGAGGCAAGCAGGCGTCTTCCTGGGGAAACCCAGGCCTCATTTGATTCATTGCTGCCCCCTGCTGGGGCCTGGCTGCTGGAAGGGGAAGGCTACACTGGTAAGAGAGCAAAGTCATCCAGGGCCAGATAAGGAGCCATGTATAGTTCAGTACTGACAACCTACCCCTGAATGAAAGCATCTTATAAATAGTTAGACATTATACCAGTCAGTGTAAGGTGGTGTTCGATTATGTTGGTTAACACACAATCTCCAGCAGTTGTGTGGCTCAGAGAACTAAGCATCAGGTTTCCCATGAAGTTCTGATGCAGGTGGCCCAGGACTGTACTGAGGAGAGGCACTGCCTTAAATAGGATCTATGTAGGAGCTTCTCAACCATTTATTAAATCGGTGCCTCATTTCAGTTTTTAAAAAAGTACATCTTCTATCAACAGGATGAGTCACTAATACTGTAACAGGTTCTTTGATGCATATACACAAAATATTATTGGATTGGTACTGCAGGGGGAAAAGAAACACTTTTAAATAATTAACTTTCCTCTCTATCTCCAAGAGGGAAGTACTATCATTTATGTTGGTTCTTTTATAATGGAGTGGTTTTTGGCCTTGGGCATTGGCATGTAAAGGTAGTGTTTGGTAATACATTTATCACAGCCATCAATTCCCTGCATATAGTAATCATTTGGTAAATGTGTATTAAATTTTCAGGGACCTAAAATAACATAAGACAGAGTTCTACCCTACATCATTGCTCACCTCTGTCCTGTGGAGGGGCCAAGCACAAGAAAGCTGCAGGCGTGGGCGTTTAGCATGCCTTATTATCACTTCTTAGGCCTTACCTTGTCTTGGCAGGCTTGGCCAAGATAAAAACAGTACTAATCACAAATAATAACTTTCCTTATTACAGAAGAGGAAGAGTAAGTGGCCTAATAGCACATTTGAAAAGTCACTTTAGAACTGAGAATTCTGGATACCTGAATATTTGTTATTTTTTAATATATGCTACTGCTTCTGAAACACCGATTGCAATCCGAGAATAACCCTATCTATCTGTGAACTGAACAAGGCCACTGAACTTGAGGGAAGATTACACTTGGTACACTGCATCATCTTAGTAAACATTGAGGCCAGTAACATTCTAGTATATCTTCGTCCAGACATCTTTTTTTTTTTTAAACTCTCAGGTTGTTGGCATTCTGGACTTCCAATCCCTCGAATGCAGATGATCATATATATATATATATATGTATACACACACGCACACACACACACACACACACCACAGTTGTGATGTATTGCATGAAAAGAACCAGAAGGCAGTTTATTGAACCTGTGTAGAAAAATCTTGTTGAGGTTTCCAGATGATGATTTTTTTACTTGTGAGTGTAGTTTGACGTATGGTTTTATTTTAAATTTTGTTTCATAATCTCATCTTGAGGATTTTTGTTTTTAGGGGTACCTAAAGGAAATCTTGAAAGAAATTGGTGTTCAGAATGTAAAAGGCACCCACAAAAACACATGGGAGCTGAAGCCAGAGTATAGACATTATCAAGGAGAAGAAAAGAGTGATTAAGAAGACTCAGCCAGCATGCTGATGGAACAACTCAAGAGTGATGTGCTGAGGAAACACCACTGAGACGCAAATAACTTGAGTTCCATCTGTTATAGGGGTAAAATGACTGGAACTTTAATTTCCCTGCGTAAATTTTTTAAACAATTCTTGTAAAGTTGCTTAAGTGTTTTTTGATGAAAAAAATTATTTATAGGCTTGTATTAAACTAGATTATTCAGGACCAGGTGTGGGGTTGGGAAGGTTAAGAAGGTTTTTCTTTTTAAATATTGACTTTTAAAATGTAAACTTAGGAAATGAGTTCTAAATGAGGACACTCTGTCCTTATCTCTGAGGAGCTGAGGTAATGCAAATCCAAAGTGAATGGCAAAGCAAGAAAAAAGTCAATTACAAAAATCTTAAAAGGAATAAAAAACCAAAGTTGCTTTTTTCTTTGAAATTGTCAAAAAACAAAGCTGTCTTTATTTCTTTTTTTACAGATGATCATGTTTCATATTCACACCCATTAATAAAAGAAGAGAGCATTTATGTTTGAACCTAAGATAGCAGTTTTCACCATTAGCTTGCTTATTTTACCCTAGTGTTAGTGACATGAGAATTGCAAAACAAAAACAAAAACAAAAAAAAACTGGCCAGTGGGTATTATTTATTTGCTTTTAAAAGAATTAGAAATTAAATATTTTTCCAACAATTCCAAGAGGTCTCCCCCATCCAGATTATGTTTCCCAGAAACTGGCTTTGCCCTAGAATTTTACCTCACACCCAGCAGGCAGGTATTAACTACCCTACAACAAATGGTATAGGGGTGAAGCTGATGTGTGTTAGGCAGTCCCAAAAACAAACATACCCACACACAAGACCACCAGAACAAAAGAAACTTCAACAAATTAAACACAAGAAAAAGTTGCTTTTGTTCATTTTGTCAGCTGCATCTGTATGCTCACAACCAAGAAGTAGCAAATGCCAACAATTCAAGAAAATGTTACATACTCAAAGCAAATCAAGGAAAAACCTATCCATGGAGATGAATATTTTTCTGTATTATTTGATTTTCAGCAGGAGAACACCAGCATGCTGAGGTTGAGTACTACTGTACTGAGAAAATGTTCATCTATGCATTCCCACTGTCAAATAAAATTCTGACAAGGGAGGCTGGTCCCATTCATACCTCACTTCTGAGAGTTGTACTGTCCTGCTTTGTTCTGGTGCAGGAACCACGTAGCTCCCCATCACCTTCCCGTCTGATTACTTGAGACTCAGCGTCAGGAAGCAGATGGGTAATGGTGTGACAAATCTGTATAGCACTGAGAACTCTGGATACCGGTCATGTGCTTGGTTCATAGCATCTGTCTTCCCCCAGACCTTGTCTTTATTTCATGTTTGGTCTGCCCCGAAACAGACCTGTGTCTCCTCTACCTCTCTCTTTTGTTTTTAGGGTGATAGGGTCTGCCACATTGAACTTGTAGCTGCTAGTAGAGCTTCCAGGACAGAGTTCTGTCTCATCTGCAGCTATGTATGCTTTGGTATTTCTGCAAACCTGGTTTCCTCAGCTTACTTTAGTTACCTCATACCTCATCACACCTGTCTATCTGCTTGAGTCTCTTAAGCACTTTTCATCTGTTCAGTGGCATAGCTAATCTAGGCAGCAGACTGGTACCATTTGTTATTAGTTTTTTGAAATTGCTGTAATACTAAAATACGGCTACTGATAATGGAGGAGACTCTCCCTGGGCTCCTTTATTTTTTTATTTCAGGACCCTCTTGCTCTGTAAACATGCTTTTGACAGCCAGAAATTAGGAAGTAGGAATCCTAAGCCCTTATAACCACTGTGAGATTGAGAGAGAGGAAGGCTAGTAAGAGATATACATACATCTGCATCATAAGAGCACAAGGGGCACCTGGGTGGCTCAGTCAGTTAAACATCTACTTTGGCTAAGGTCATGATGTCACAGTTCATGGGTTCAGGCCCCGCATTGGGCTCTGTGCTGATAGCTCGGAGCCTGGAGCCTGCTTCAGATTCTGTGTCTCCCTCTCTTTCTGCCCCTCCCCTGCCCACATTCTCTCTCTCTCTCTCTCTCAAAAATAAACAAACAAAAACAAACACAGGAAAGCCGTATTTAATAGATGACTTAGTTAAACTCAGCTAGTACACACACTTAAGGGATGTTTTAATTGACAAAATGTAATAAGTATATTTTGGTTGCTGGGCATTGGAAAGATTTGAAATTACTTGTTGCCACAGTAACTTCTAAGGAATAGATCTTAAAAAAGAAAACCTTTTTTGCTCTGTTGTATCATAAGCAGCCCTAAAAGAGTTTAGCAGAGTTGGAGTTGTTCCTAATGGTCTGTGAACAAATTTTCTTGAACTTTATTTTCATCGTCATTGGTACTTACCAGTGAAATGAGAGTAAACATCCTGCCCTTATGTGCCTGGCAGTGTGTTAAATACCTCATTTAATCCTCAGAAATAGTTCTGAGAAATAGATAATGTCCATTTTATAAAACCATTTCCTGCCCAACACACTGTGATGAGTCCTGATCCCTCTTTTGGGGGAATTCCGCCCTTGGGGCAAAGTGAATACCAGAGTGTACTTTTCCATAAACCTTCCCCACACATACAATCTCCCCAGAAATTGGTACAAACCCCAGAAAAAGCTGTGAGAGGGAGTTTGTCTTTGGCATCCCTACTTTTATACAAACACAAACTTCTCTACTGACAAGATAAAAACTGAACTCCTTCCTTTAAATATTTTTTTAACTTATTTATTTTGAGAGAATGAAGACAGGAGAGACAGAATCCCAAGCAGGCTCTATGTCATCAGCACAGAGCCCAATGTGGGCCTCAAACTCAAAAAAACATGAGATCATGACCTAGGCTGAGATCAAGAGTCTGCTCCTTAACAACTGAGCCACTCAGATGCCCCTGAACTCTCTCCCTTAAAGTCAAGATCCTCTTGCTCAAATTTTATTCCCTGCCACACTTTTGGTACCCAGTTAGGGGGTGCAGCTTTAGAGTGGACTCTCTTAGACCATAGGAGTTAAGGGCCCTCGTGGAATGTGAAAGGTGACCGGGGCACTGAGCTGAAGGGGTACCACCTTATGTTCGGACTCCACTTGCTGCACACCCACCTTTTGCCCCAGCACACTGGCCATTTTCCCTGGCAGTGGTGCAAGAGTCCAGGAGATGATGAGCTGGTCTTCTTTTTGACTTAGTTTTCTTTCTGACATGAGTACAGAGCAGGTTTCTGAGCCTAATATTTTCATAATGTGTAAGAGGAGGAATCAGAGATTGCTTTTTAATCTTCCTTTTCTTCACAAACTCCCGTCATTTCTTCTTCCTACTTCCTTGTCTTCGAGCAAGTACCAGCACCCATAGTACAATAGTACGATGTCAGTCTGCCAGACAGCAGTATAAGCCTTTCATAGTTTATTATAAGAAAATTAACAGCTTTTATTGGACTTTATTAGAGATCTAAATTAAAAAGGATATAGTTCTGTCACATCGTTTAGTCTTAAATTTTAGAATTTTAAAGACATGATTTAGAGTGTACTGTATTTTTCAGTGTTGAAATTTATATTTAAAAATCTTAAGATCTGAGGTTTTTATGTTTTGTGGAGATATAAGTACACCAAAAGAATATGTTGCTGGGCTAAATACTGTGTTGTGGTGTGGTTATGGAGCACGACAGCTGTTTATTGGCAAGTATTTACTGACCATGATTATATCCCAGGCACAGTGGATACCAAAGTGCTAGACATAAGAGGCGTTCACAGTCTAGTGGGAAATAGAGAATGTAGACGGATACAACAGCGTGTGGGTAGGGAAGTGTGAACTAAGTGTTGCAATCAATCAGAATATTCCAGTTAATTCATTGTTGCCATTTATGCTCTACATGGATTTCCAATTTTTGAAGTGTTTGAATGCAGTAATATATACTTAATTTTAAAACTTCTTTGAATGTAATTTAACCATTGAAAATTCCTGAAACACAAGAGGATTTATACAGTGCCTAAGGATCATTATTATGAACACATACAGCGGATGTCTATAACACATCGATCTTGTTAATAGAATGCTAAATTGAAGGGTTTACTGGGCTAGTCTTCGTGACATTTAAGCCTTATTTCTGATTGCCATTCTAGTTTCTCTCCTTGAACAAAAGCCTGGGAAGCACTTGGGCCACTCATTCATTCATTCTTTCATTCAGTGAAAACCCACTAAATGCCAACCGTGTGCCAGACACCAGGAGCAAACGTGATGGCTGTAATCATGTGCCTTATGTGCCAGTCGTTCTCTGCCTGTGTTACTAAAGAAGCAGGAAGGATAAAAGCTTTTGTTTATTGTACCCTTCCTGTGTGCCAGGTGCTGTGCTAAGCATTTGACTCATCACTCGTTTAATCCTCGCAGCAATGCTAAAACATGGGTTCTGTTTTTGCCCTTGTGTTATTGATGTGGAATGTCAGGCACTGAGAAGTTGAAGAACCTAACCTACTGTCATACAGTAGACAGGGGCAGAGCCAGATTCAGATTCTAGAATATCACTGGGCAGGTAGGCTCTTAGCTCCTATTATGTGCATTAAGTATGCTTTTATGGGTGCTGTGCTCTTGATTGCCCACAGCTGCAATTCACCAGTCAGAGTCTCCCATTTGGTTTTTTGTTGTTTGTATTCTTGTTACTAATACTATTGAGATGTAATTGACATATTACTCTTCGGTGTTTGACTTCTCACTAATGGGCTGCAGAGTCTCAAAAATTATCTTTCCTGAATCAAAAAGAGTTAATTCTGGGTTCTGTTGGAGTTGTTTTACCTTTAGAGATTTAGTTTTCAATTTTTGTTGAGGTTCTGGAGTTTCTTGTGGAATGATGTTCCTTTCTTTGGCTCTAGATTCAGATGAGTTATTTCCCAGGAATGACTGCATATGGCCAGTGTACTTCATTTATTTACATCCTAGACCACCCAGTGAATGTTCAGTTCCAAACTTATGAGAAAGTTGGCTGGTCACAGTTGAGGGTCTCTGTTATGGCCTAGTAAGCACAAAGGAGGTCCATCAGCTTGGGACTGCCAAGTAACGGGAATGCAGAGCTGAACAAATATGAACAGGTTCTTGCTTTCAGAAGCTCACAGTATTGAAGAGGACTTGGAAATAAGCAAAATAGTGCCTTAAGTCCAGCAGTAGAAATACATGGCAGAATGTTTTCAGAGCTATGTGGATTCAAAGCATGTCCCTGAGAGCAAGTTGTTTGGTTTCTGTGCCTTTGTTTCCTCATCTGTGAAATAGATATGAAAAGAATATCTACCTCAGAATTGTGGTGAAACTTAAATGAGTCAATATATCAGCACTTTATTTCCCACATTCTTGGTTACACTGTAGAGTGCAAAAGAATTGCTGGTTCTTTTCGTTGCACAGCTGAGTTTGTGCCATTCTGCTGTTGCTGTATGGAGTTAAGGAACGTAACTATATTTTTTTAAAAGTCAATATGTGTAAAGTCCTTCAAACACTACATATGTAGAAAGCACTTTATCATATACAAAAGATGTAAAATATGGAAGTAGCACAGAGAATGAAATGATTAATTACATCCTTGAGGAGTCAGGAAAACCTTCCTAGAGCAGTTTCGGAAGTGCATTTTCAAGGGATCTATGAGTTCAGTAAGACTCGCAGCCTTACATCACAAGGTGATTAGAGTGAGAACCCACACACACTTTCAGTGTACTAACAGACACAGCTTGGTAGTAAAGGAGTGTGGCTCGACACCTTGCGTCCAGTCTTGGTCTGATAGAAGACTGTGGAGGTCAGGTAATCTTTCCCTGGGCCCGGGTGGAATGGATGAGCGGCTAGGCAGGACTAGCCTGCTTCAGTTGTACACGCAAGTTCAAAATGGTGCAGACAACCCAATTGCCTCCATATTTGCGGCATGCTTTTCTACTTTGACTCATCCCTGAACACATTAATTTAGTCCTCTTGAAGTGGCAGTTGAAACCAACCATAACAAATTATGTTAGAGGTTTGAGATCTCAGTCCTTTATCTTTCCACCACTGCAGTAAAGATAAATAGCAGAAGCTAAATAGGGTCAAATGATTCACGTTAGTAATGGAGGCCCAGTAACTCCCAGCTGGACTAGAGGACCTAGCTAAGAGCTGAGGCTAAAAAGTCCCTTATCCTTTTCCTCTGTTGGCAATGACTGTATGGCCACTGGTGGGCAGTTGGCCTGGCTTAGCATTTGCAGGGGAAAATCTGGAGCAACTGGAAGAAGACACTCAAATGGCCAGCAGGTACAAGAAAAGATACTAAACATCACTAATCGTCAAGGGAATGCAAATCAAAGCCACCACTAGATACTACCTCACAACCTGTTAGAATGACTAAGCTCAAGAAGATAAGAGATAACAGGCATTGGCAAGGATATGGAGAAAAGGGAACCCTTGTACACATGGAAATGTAATTGTTTCAGTCAGTATGGCAAACAGTATGGAGTTTTCTCAAAAAATTACAAATGGGGGCTTGCTCAGTGGAGCATGCAACTTGATCTCAGGATCATGAGTTCAAGCCCCTGTTAGGCATGGAGCCTACTTTAAAAAAGAAACCAACACCATACCAAATAAAAATAAAAACAGATCTACCATATGATCTAGCAATTCCACTTTCAGGTATACACCCAAAGGAAATGAACAGGATATCAAAGGGGTATATGCATGCCCCTGTTACTGCAACATTATTTACAATAGCTAAGATATGGAAACATCCTGAGTACCCATCAACAGATGAATGGATAAAGAGATGTGATCTGTATATGAAATATATTTTCAGGAATATTATTGAGCCATGAGAAAGAAAAAAATCCCGCCACTTGCAACAACAT